TTATTACATCCAACAACATTATTACATCTATACCTGCTCCGGCATCGAAACAGTAGTCGTGGGAGGGGCCTGTGCAAACCTACGCCAAGAATGTCAGAACAGCTTGATCTGAGACACTGCTTATGATTTACTGACTGCAGCTGTTTTATTGTGATCATGTTGTCAAAACACTTGCATGCAATAGTGTGGGGCGTTAATACTGTGTCCTATGCAGTGACATTAGCCAATCACAACAGCGGCTGATTACTGACAAGCCTTAAAGGACACGCCTTTAAGGCGAAAAGAGGGTCAGAATGAGGGTTGAAAATAATAATTTTCCCACATATTTATTTGTTTTTTTCGTGCAAAAACCTTTATTAAAAGGGTCACTGGATGCCCATTTTCCACAAGTTGATATGATTCTTTAGGGTCTTACATTTACATTTACATGACATTAATGAGTCTATAACATACTTTAGTTAAAATTTCTCAATGGTAGTGCAAAATAACACCCTCTTTACCTTGTCAAAAACAACCGAGCAGTTTCGGTGCATGTCCCTTTAAATGCTAATGAGCTCTGCTGACCCCACCCCTCTCTTCTGTGGGGTGACAGCTATTCTCTGAGAGACTCTTAACTTTAGCCGCAGAACTTGCTAATTAGCACATTATTAGGAAAGGCGATTTACAAAGATTCATAAAAATACCTTATACTCATGTCTTCTGTAGGTGAAGCTGGATCATGAATGATTCGCGTGAAAATAAGCACATTTAGGTAGATTGGGGAGCACATTCCCTTTAAAAACCAAATTAATCCACTGCGTCTTCAGCGGCTCAGATGTCGGGAGTAAATGACGACTGCTGTTCATTATTACATCCAACAACATTATTACATCTATACCTGCTCCGGCATTGAAACAGTAGTCGTGGGAGGGGCCTGTGCAAACCTACGCCAAGAATGTCAGAACAGCTTGATCTGAGACACTGCTTATGATTTATGGGGATTTTAAAAAACCACTGGGTGGATTTTTATCATTATAGAGTGGTTGTGTACACACACTGCCAACACACATTTCAGTTCAAAAGTGCAACATTTAACATTATAAGTAAACCTCAAGGAACATATTAAAATAATTTAAAAAATCCATGTCATGGCCCCTTTAAGGTCAACAGTTCAGCATGATTTCAGTACAGCGGGAAGAAAAATGATTTATTTTATGAACACAGTGGATAGAAAGGAGGAAAGTGTCCCATGTGCTTGATGTGATGAGCGTGTCTGTTAAGAGAGACTCACGTCCAGATAGTCTTTCATGGCCGTGTCCATCATGACCAGATCCGTCAGGAAAGTTCCCAGGTAAGGAATCGTCCCCTGCATCACAGTCTGAAACAAAAACCATCGTTCTGAGAGTTCAGCAGAATAAAACACCACATCAGACGACAGACGGGAACAATTTATATACACTACATGGCCAAAAGTATTGAGACCCACTTCTGATGAACAGGTTTGACTACTTTAGTCATTTCCATGAGTACAAATCTTAATGTTGAAGCATATGATATTCCAGGGAATTGCGTGCTTCAAATTTTATAAGAACTGGACCGGTCTGCTGTGACTTTAAATCCAGACCTCGAGCCAAAAACTCTTCACCAAACACCAGTGACTTGTACATTCACTATATGGACAAAAGTATTGTCCTTCTGGAAGTGCCTTCTTTAGAACAGAAAAAGGCACTTCCAAAACTTTGGCAACAAAGATGTAAACATAATAAAAATGGTAATTCTATCTCTGTTGCAACAGTTTTGGAAGTGTCTAAAATGACTGTAGCCATATGTACAAGTCACTGGTGTTTGGTGAAGAGTTTTTGGCTCATTTCAAGGCCTGCATTTAAAGTCACAGCAGAGGTTTCTGTAGACCAGTCAAGCTCTTCCACACTGACTCAATCAGTCATTTCTTTTTTAACCTTGCCTTATACACAGAGGCATCGTCATGTTAGAATAGAAAAGGGTCCTGTCCAAACTGTTGCTGTAAAATTAGAATCACACAATTCCCAAGAATAGCATTATGTGCTTAAACATTAAGATTTGTACTCATGGAAATGACTAAAGTAGTCAAACCTGTTCATTAGAAGGGGGTGCCAATACTTTTGGCCATGTAGTGTATAGACAGACGGATAGATATGAATCCCCTGCTGGAGTGTTTATAGTTCCTGTAGTAATGATACGGTGTCAGCATGAAGCTCAATGAATCTGTACTGCATGATCTGAGAGCAGCTGCTGGTGTGGATCATCGTCCATCACGGACTCTGAATGTCTCACCAGATCTCTCTGCGGCTGCTGTCGTTTCTGCGCTCGCTTAGGGTTGATCTCCAGAGTGGCAAATTTGGACGTTCCCTCCTGCCAAAGAAATACAAGCAGTAAATATCACACACACTCTCTCACACACTCGCTAACTGCTTTAGTAAGGATTATTAATGACCTTCTACTTTCTGGTGACTCGGGCAATCTTTCCTCTTATTACTCGATCTCAGCTCAGCTTTTAATACTATCTGTCCTAATTTATTACTCATGCACATACTCAATGGCATCTCCAGAGCTGCGTTATCCTGGTTTTCCTCCTATTTGACAGATAGACAATACTACATCACCATGCATAACTATAAATCTCCCACTGTTTTACTCAAACAGGGTGTTCCTCAGGGCTCAGTTCTCGGGCCATTATTATTTATTAATTATTAACAAAAAGTATTCTTGTAGCTTCCTAAAATTACGGTTGAACCCCTGATGTCACGTGGATTATTTTAACGATGTCCTTGCTATGTTTCTGAGCCTTGATGGTGTTAGGATGCTTGCTGTCTATGAGAGGATCAGAGAGCTCTTGGAATTCATCACAAATACCTTAATTTGTGTTCCGAAGTCTTACAGGTTTGGAACGACATGATGGTGAGTAATTAATGACAGAAGTTTCAATTTTGGGTGAACTAACCCTTTAAACCTAGATGCTTATATTAGTAAACTCTCTAAAATATCTAAATAAATATTGCCAAACTCCAATCCTTCGTCAGCCCAAAAGACGCTGAATCATTAGTACATGCATTCATCACATCCAGCCTCGTGTACCGAGATTTTGCCTATCATTTATGGGAGGCCGATCTTTCTCTTTCTCTGTCTCTTAGGACAGTAACCACACTGCATGAATTTAAGTCTAAACTCATCTGTTCTCATCTCTCATCTGTTCAACCAATACAACCGGTCATAATGCGTTTCTTCTTAAACTCTTATGGTTCTCTGTTTGAATTTGATTGTTTGCACTACTATTGTGATATGCAACTGCAATCGCACGTCTTGGACTTGGGCGAATGTCTATTGTCCACATAAGTGATTATGCACGGAATGATTGTTTATTTGCTATTGTCATTGTGAAGCGTCCTTGAGCTTGGGAAAGGAGCTATATAAATCAAACATTATTATTATTAGTATTATACACACACACACGTGTGGTACCTTTATCAGCAGTTCTCGGCTCAGCGAGTGGTTGTTCTCATCAGAGAATATCTCTGACAGCTCCTGGAAGATGCGAATGTTTTCTCGTGACACTTCGTCCCATGTTTTCTTGAGCCGGTGAACTGGGTTACACTGCAGCGCAGACAGAATCGCACGCAGAGACGAGAAGTTCTTCAAGATCCGACACTCCTGAGAAAAGAAAAGGGTCTTAAAATCAACAGTAAACCAGCAATCAGACGTGTGTGTGGGTGTGTGAGTGTGTGTGTGTGTGTGTGAGAGAGAGTGTGTGTGTGTGTG